TTAAGTCATATCAGATCTGCAGTTACATCATCGGCTGCCTCAGAGTGAACTATATTTGAATACAAGCAGCTGGATAGAACCAGAAAACTACTCAAAAATACTAATCTAATATAGTAAAGATACATTTACTTAAGAATGAAAGCAAAAAAATGTATAATAGTTTGAGTTTTATTAAACATAACTCATATAATATGAAATTTATCTGTTTTAAATACACATTTCAGCAACTATTGTTTTTGCATAGCTATGCAACCATCACCATAATCTTATTTGAGATCATTTCATCACTACAGAGAGAAAACTCATGCTCATTTATACGCACTCCCCAGATCAAGGTGACCATTTTGTACTGAGTACTTTCTGTCTCTACAGATTTGTGTTTATCAAACATTTCATATAATAAAATCATACATGTGGCCTTTGGTGTCTTGCTTCTTTTACTTAGCATGTTTTTTAAGTCCTTTACTTTAGCATAAGTACTTTAGTGAAAGTATACATAGTATAAGTAATTTAGCATGAGTACCTTAGCATAAGTATACATAAGTACTTTAGCCTAAGTATACATAATTTTTGAAAATATATAATTAGTCAAGATTGAAATTTTTATTTTTTTCTTAAAATGCCCACAATGAAAGGAGAAGGAAATATTTGCATAAGTCAATTATTTTTATATTAAGTAATATGTATTGTATACACATGAGCAAAAGCAGAAATGCTCATATCCAAATACTTAATAAAACATTTTTGGGGGGTTGCTTCTTTCCATTTTTTAACGTTTGTTTATTTATTTTGAGAGAGAGCAAGTGGGGGAGGGACTGAGAGAGAGAGAGAGAGAGAGAGAATCCCAAGCAGGCCCTGTGCTGTCAGCGCAGAGCCCAAACATGGGGCTCAAACCCACAAACTGTGAGATCATGACCTGAGACTAAACCAAAAGTTGGACACTTAACCAACTGAGCCACCCAGGTGACTCTTGACTTGTTCTTTTCTTAATGGGATTTTATATGGAAAATTCTTAGGATTGTAATCTTGGATTTACATTAATGATTCAAATTTAGCACATGCCATCTCTGTGCTCATTCTGTGCCTGGTCAAGAGCTTGCACATACACCATGTCACTCAATTCCACATCTCTTTAGGGTGGTCCTGCAGCAAAGACTTGGTAAATTTACTTAAATATGTGGATCTAGATTTTTTATTTACTAAATAAGGTGTGGGGAATAAATGATTACAAACTTCCCTCCCAGCTTTGATATATAATTATTCTACCATCAATTTCCTCAAAAGTACATCATAAAATGAGGAAAAGTTAATTATAATAAAAAGTGCCATTGCTTATTGAAGAGGAAGAAAATTTTCTTCACTAATAGAATATCTGTATAAACTATATAATTTCTTTCTTTTCATTTATATTGCCTTTATACACTTTTTTTGCCCTAGTTTTCAGTTCTTAACTTTAAGTAACTTTGCTTACCCAGGAAATTCTAAACTAAATTTTCTTGTAATAATGGGGCCACTGGTTCAAAATACCTCTATCCTTTTCCCTCTGGTGGTTAAACCCACACAAAGCTATGAAACTGATGCCACAATTGAAAAGAAGAATTTCTGTTGGAAGATTGTAATTCGCCCTGGAGTCTCATTGGCTAGAAGTCTCTGCAAGTATCTGCAACATAGCACAAAGTTCTGAACATAAGTGAAATGGGACATAGCTCTTTATTTGACTTAAAAGGTAACTGCGCAAATAATACAGGGTACACAGGAAGACTATGCTGATAAACTGAAGAAAGATAGATGACAGACAACATAATGGGCTCCTAGGAGCTGAGAATTATCAGATTCTCTCCAGATAAGCCTTCTCTGAACTGTAGAATATCAAAGTACAGTGAGAAAGTATTTACCAAGGTTTAGTTTAAGATGAAAAGGAGAAGAAAAACTATAAAATACAGGAAAGAGTAGTAATTTCAATATCTGAAGAACTGTTGTTCTTTCATGGATACAGTCACACTGAGTCTAACAGTAAGATTGTCTGCACAGTAAGCGTGCTGAATGGATAAACTACCTGAACAACAGAAAGATATCAGGTGCTGAGGTATGAGATATGAGGGGTAGGGAGTCTCCAGAGTGGCGAGGCTAGGGTGAGAAGAAAAACAATCTCCTGCAGAACATAGAGAATAAGAATCAATGGACAAAGGGGAGTAAACTCATGAATAACATTTTCAAATGATCCTTAGGTAACATACAGATTTTTCAATTATAGGGCCAACCCACACTTTGAGGCTACAACTATTTTCTTCTCTTAGAAGTTATATACTTCTTTATGTTAATAATTCAAATTGCAATTATTATTTTTTACTGTGAATGAGACTAAATAGTCAATAAACACCATAAAAACTCAAGAGAGAAGCTGTGGAAGGAAGAAAAGGCTTTATGTTTTTGTAACCTTAATAGCACTTATTTCCTGCTTTTTGTTTTTTGTGGTTTTGTTGTTATTGTTCTTTCAAGTTTTTATTTAAATTTTAATTAGTAAACAGATAGTGTCATATTGGTTTCAGTAGTAGAATTTAGTGATCACTTCAATACAACACCCAGTGCTCATCACAAGTGCCCTCCTTAATACCCATCCCTCCATCAACCCTGTTTCTTTTAGTTAAGGGTCTCTTATGGTTTGCCTCTCTCTCTCTCTTTTCTCCTTTCCCCTATGTTCATCTGTTTTGTTTCTGAAATTCCACATTTGAGTGAAATCATATGGTATTTGTCTTTCTCTAACTGACTGACTTTGCTTAGCATAATAAACTCTAGCTCCACAAGAACAGGTATATTTATGGTAAGTATAGAACTAAAGAAATGGTTTTTAAAACTTGCTTGGGAAAGTAAATAGAGGAATGAGATAAATGAGTGCTGGGAATCCTAGCAACATAAATGAATGCCAGCTTTCCCTCTCAAATAAAATGAAAGGGCAAAATAAAGCTGTAATTTAGGCTTTATTTGTATTAATTACATTACGCTTAAGTATATTAATTTCATATCCAAGCTTTTCTGTTGTCAGTGTATCATGGGGCATGAAGTTCCAGGTAGCAAAGGTATTCATCCCCACTTGTAGCTGGCATATTCATTTCATCTGATAATCATCAAGACAGGTCATTATTCCAAAGTGCATCTAACTATTAAAATTACTGTCATAAAGGTCTCCAAAGCAAAATTCCTGCTCACTCACCTGATTATCACATAACACGGCCCTTCAAAGAGGGTGCAGTGCACGGCAGTCCTCTGTGTGCTCCTCCAGACCCATCATCATCGTTCAGTATCCACTCTGTGTCCTCCTGGAGGTTGACCTACAAGAACATCATTTTCATCTTTATTTTCCCTAATTTGTATGAATTGTCCAGTTCTTAAAAATATCTAAAGTAGGAAATACATTGAGGGACTTAAGGTTGGATAAGCATGGTTGGAACCTTAGGTTGGAATCCTAATCAAGCTCCATACTGTCAGCATGGATCCCAGTGTGGGGCTCAAACACAGGAACCTTGAGATCATGACCTGCGTTGAAATCAAGAGTAGGATACTTAACTGACTGAACCACCCAGATACCCCTGGTCTCCATTCTTTTAAAATTTTTACAATATGTTACATTTACCATGTACTAAATTAAGTATTTTTTATTTGGTTTATTGCTATTTTTGCTTGATAGTTATGTATCTTTGGATTGTCTCTAGACATAGGGCATTCATTCATTCTATAAGAAAATATAGTGTAATTAGCTATAACACAGAAGGATTCCAACATACCTGCTGAATCATATCTCCTAAGGAAATCACATGGAACATATAAATTCAATCAATACTTGACACTACACCATAGAAATACATTTCTTTAATTTTGTAGGCAATAATGTATATTGGTATGAGGTCAAATTCAGGCATCAGACTGACTGGGCTTGAATATTAGTTTTGACTTTGTTAGCTGTGTCCCTGTAAGTCATTAAATACTTCTATGCCATAGTTTTCTTATATGCAAAATAAAAATAATCATAATATTCACCTCATGGGATTCTTATGAGCATTAAATGTGTTAATGTATGTGAAACATTTAGAACACAGTAATACTTAGCACATACTAATAACTTAATAGTTATTATTTGTGATTACTCTAGATCCTATGAACAATGTCTGAAAAGCTGAGTAAAGACAATTTAGTATGACACACCACAACCAAGAAAAATCTGTATGCTAGAGTTGAATCATTTTACTATTTACCTCTTAACAATCATTTACATAATTTACACAGAACACTCACACTTCTCACTGTGAACAACAGTAATACAAGGAATTAGGAAAAGAAGTTCACAAAGATCTGAGGATGAGTTCATGTTTCGTGAAATTCTCAGCATACTACACAATAGAAACTAAAAGCAAAATTATTTTTAATTAATTAAAAGACTTTCTTTCATGTATAAATTAGCCTCTAGGTGCGTGTGCGTGCGTATGTGTGTGTACACTTTCTTCATTTATTTCAGAAATATAGAATAACCTTAAAAAATGATTTCAGTGATACAGGACAACACAATTTCCTCATCTTCCAGATTCTCTATTCCTTATATATTGTTTTAACATAATCTCAAGAGGTGACAGAAAATTGTGATAATAAAGGCAAAATAAATACTAAGGTAACTACTTATCCAATTTTTCCAAGTGAGCAAATTAGTGACAGTCAAAATTGATAAAACAGTACCATGTGCTATATAAAACAATAGAAAATAACACTTCCACTCTTAAAAATGCTTTTTAATTGCTGCAAACTATAAGAATATTGTTTCAGAGTAATATGACCCATAAAGTAATTTCATATTATAGATAACAATGCCGATATATTTACAAGTATGTATTCTCATAACACCAACAATTTTCATCAATTAGAAATAAGAAAACATCAGTGTTAATTGTGGCTTTATTTATTTTTTTAATTCTCTTTGTATAAAAGAACTTCTAGAGTCTTTCTGAATCAAGTACATGGATCTTAAAAATGGATCTGTAGTGACTGAGTTTATTTTACTGGGATTTTCTGGACAATGGGAACTTCGGATTTTCTTCTTTGTAGCATTCTCCTTAATCTACAGTGCTACTGTGTTGGGGAACGTTCTCATTATGGTCACAGTGACATTTAGTTCCACCCTTCATTCTCCCATGTACTTCCTCCTTGGAAACCTCTCTTTTTTGGACATGTGTCTCTCCACCGTCACCACGCCCAAGATGATCAGAGACTTGCTCAGTGAACACAAGATCATCTCCATATGGGGCTGCATGACCCAGATGTTCTTTATGCACTTCTTTGGGGGTGCTGAGATGACTCTTTTGATAGCCATGGCCTTTGACAGATACGTGGCCATATGTAAACCCCTGCACTACAGGACAATCATGAGCCACAGGCTGCTGAGTGGGTTTATGATACTTTCATGGATAATTGGTTTTATACACACCATGAGCCAGATAGTATTAACAGTAAACTTGCCTTTCTGTGGTCCCAATGTCATAGACAATATATTTTGTGACCTTCCCCTTGTGATTAAGCTTGCTTGTATGGAAACATATAACCTGGAATTATTTGTCATTGCTGATAGTGGGCTGCTCTCACTCATCTGTTTCATCCTTCTGTTTGTCTCCTACACTGTTATCCTCATCACCGTACAACAAAGGTCATCTGGGAGTCTCTCCAAGGCTCTGTCCACCCTGTCTGCACACATGATTGTGGTCACTCTGTTCTTCGGACCTTGTATCTTTATATATGCCTGGCCATTCAATAGTTTCGCAGGCAATAAAGTTCTTGCCGTATTTTACACTGTTTTCACACCCTTACTAAATCCTATTATTTACACCCTGAGAAATCAGAAAATGCAAGAGGCCATGAGGAAATTACAGTTCCAAAATGTTATCTCCACACAGAACTCCTAGACTTGAACACTATATATATATATTTTTTTAATTTTTAAATGTTTATTTATATCTGAGAGAGAGAAAGAGAGAGAGAGAGAGAGAGAGAGGAAGCATGAGTGGGAAATGGGCAGAAAGGGAGAGAGACACAGAATCTGAATCAGGCTCCAGGCTCTGAGCTGTCAACACAGAGCCTGGTGCACGGCTTGAAACCATGAACTCTGAAATCACGACTTGAGCTAAAGTCAGATGCTCAACCAACTGAGCCACCCTGGCATCCCAGTTGAACGCTATATAATTAACACAACTTCCAAATACTATGCTAACATAATTTGAATAGATTCTATATAATACATGGGTTCACTCCTATGTTAGAGTGAACAGTACAGAACCATAACTAGTGCAGAAAATAATAAAATATTTTAATCACATTTACTGCTGTTAAAACACATAATAATGAGTGACCTACAGCAAAATAGATATTTGAAATCATCAAGCACGTTTTCATAGATATTCAATATATATTTATTAGTGAAGACATAAATAGAAAAATATATGGTGAATACTAATAGAGACGATTTTAATAGATATAGATTGTTAATGACATTCATAAACGTATAGTATCTTTAAAGGAGGGACCAGTACAAATCATGACTGAAATAATGTGAACAATGGGGAAAAATATGAATCTAATCTCTTGATGCAATGAGAAAAAAATAAGAAAAATAATTAAATTTGACAGTATAATGAATATAAAATACTAGAGAGAATGTGAGATACCAGGGGGGAAAAACCAATGTAAGGACAATTTCAGTAGAACTACATCATTGAAACCAAATGCTCCAAGAAATATTCTAAGTATGCACAGTTGACTTTCAAACCTCAATAAATAAAAAGAGGAGCATATTTCTTGCTTTCATTCAATACATCAATGTACCTTTTTGTTTCCAAGTGCTTAACATAAAACTTCAGTTTAATTTGCCTCTGATAAGTTTGTAATCCTTGTTGCAATTATCAGCTAAATCTGATTTGGTTGTGAGTGTTGAGGAGGAGGTCAGTGCATGCTAAACTGGGAATCCCATAAGCAATGATAGTAATCTTAAGTACTCTCTCCCAATTCAAGTCACCAACATTTCTTGCTTCCTCTAGGCAACAGCTTTCTATTGATCCTAAGCCACTGCATAAGTTCTTTCCTCCATTGAATTCACTCTCTATAAGCATCTGGAGTGACGTGATTAAAATGCAGTTCTTAATGTTTCTTCCCTGGCTAAAATTATCTTGTGCCATTAAGACATAGGTTTGCATCCTTAACTGGCCTTTAAAAACCCAGCCTGTTTCTGGAATTTTGTTCTAATCTACTTCTTTTCATAATGTTACATTCACACTGACTTTCTTTCAAAATTTTCTAAGTTATCAGGCATCTTAACTTAGGACTATTACCAGGCTGTTTCCTTCATCTACAATGACTTCCATCACTTCTACACCCAGCTAACTTCTTCCTAGAGTACAGAACCTGGACACAATATTACATTTTAGAATACCTCTCCTATATGTCCTTGGCCAATTTAGATTTCTTTATTTTACTAATTTATAACACGCTGCAATTTCCATCCTTCGCACAAGTTATGGCAATAATGAATTGTATAATTATAGGTTAATGTTAGTTCTGTCTTAAGGCTCTAGATTCTATGTATCTTCAGTATTTAGTAGGTATATTGGCTCACAGAGGTTCATACACACCTACTGAATGAATAAAGAAATTATGAAATAACTATATTCTAGCAATTATTTGATCTACCCTTAAGGAATACATGCACTTCTACTGTGAGATATTATCTGTTAAAAAATGAGAGTACATAAGGGCATATATTGTTCATATATTTTAGTAATTGAATTACAGGGATGAGAACCTTGTAATTAAAGAAAAGGAACATGGAATACATGAAGAATTTCAGGCAAATGTTAGTGAATAAGGCAAGTTTAGAATATTTGCTATAAAAATTACATTCAATTCTATTTCTACACAGTAAACATAAAATCTCAGTCTTACATTATAGCTCACCTTCTATTAGACAAATCATAGCCATTTATAAAGTAAAACATATATCCAGGGGTGGATAGGAGTATACTCCAACTGATTAAACATTATATGAGACTTTTGTGTCCGTAGTATAGCACAAAGTCCCAAAACTCTCTGGTTACAAAACATCTAGGACTGTTAGAATCATCTAAAATAACCATTAAAATACATTTTAAAGGTTTTAAAGGAAAGTAAACAAATCACATCTGAGGCCCAATATGAAGCTTGAGGTCCATTCCAGGAGAATAAACCAGCACTGAAACATTGCACACTCTGAGAACCTCTACTGAATACTGTTGCCTAGAGAGCCTACAAATTTGAAAGAGTACTGTTGGGCTTTGGGCCCAAACAGGAATGGAGACAGACTAGAGGTCATGCCAAGTGCTCAGATTCTGAAAAAGAGAGATTACTAGAAGAAAACCTCCCTACCAGAAGCCAAAAGCAATAAAAAAAAAATGTTATCCAAGCTTGAATCTGGATGTAGATGAAAATAAGTGTGCACTCACAAAGATTGAGTTTGCTATCATATTCTTTGTATGTTCCCATGCCTCGAAGTGAGAATTTTATTTTAACATACTACTTAAGAATGTAGGCTCAGGTATTTGCAAAAGTAAACACAAATATTCACTGAAAACCAAAATGTTCCTTGAAAACAGTCTACACTGAACTCTCAGAGAAAGGTTTTACAAATAAAAACTCACAACCAAAACTCACAAAACAAAGAAACAAAAGCATCCCAGCAAACATGATAGTCAGGAGAAAGTGAAAAATAATCATGAAATGGGAGAAAAAATATTTAGAAATCATGGATCTGATAAAGGATATGGGTCCAGAATATATAAAGAACTCTTACAATTCTAGAATTCAAAGACAAATAACTCAGTTAAAAACAGACAAAAGATCTAAGAGTAAAGGTCCCCAAAGAAGATATACTGTTGGGAGCCATTCTGAGCCTACTAGCCCAGAAAACACCTGGTGAGGTTAAAGCAAGTTTGCACGGTCTCTTGCCAATCAGATGATGACTGATATCCACCCCCACTCAATTAATTCTGCTTGAGCACCAACCCCCAAGGTACCTTGTTGATCGGTATTGGAAGTGACTTGTCCCCTTATTCTGGCCCTGGTATGATGATTGCACCTTGTGAAGGAACTTATTGTGGGAACTTCTTTTGCTTATAGGAACAGACATCATGTCTCCAGCAGGTCCTGTTTCCCTCCATACTTTCCCTTGAGCTATGAACAGGCTAATGACCCTTACTCAAAAAAGATTACCTTACAATTCCGTTTCTACTATTGCATTAGTCCAAGATGTTCATACAGCTTAACATGTAAATCAACTAACCAAAAATGTCTCTCATGCCCTAGCTATTCAAGAAATCATAAAACTAGATGCAAAGGTAAATACACTCAAAGAGGCTATTCTATGTATTGGAAATGAGCTAATCTCTTTAAAGGTATGGCTGGCTCTCCAGTGCCATAAAGCATACAATGGGAAAATCAAGTCTTGCCCAGAGACAAAGAGCCTAACTTAGAGAGAAGGAACAGATAAGGGCAGAACATAAGTTACTATATATACCTTTCCTAACTGGTGGTGTATAGCAGTCCCTTCCCTAAGGCCTGCGTTCCACAAACACCTTCCCTTACCCTGGCATCTGTGATGAGGATGGATAAGAGTATCTACAATCCTATGACTTAATCTTAGTGTTATTAAAATGTGAACACCCTGTTATTTTCTTAGTTACTCAACCTCACTATAATTGGGGTAGTTCTGCAAGAATACTTCTGTAAAACCTGTTTCAGTACATTTTCCAAAAACATCTTATCACAGAGAACTATCCATTGTAAAAATTCCATTTTCTGATGCCATGTTAACATTTGACTTATAAATAAAGACACCAAAACCGACAGGAGAGAGTTGCCTGCCTGGTGATCAGAAAGATTCTCGTGGCTGTCTCCCTCCCTCCCTCACCGAAACTGTCCATCCTTCAGGGACCCCTGGACCCAGCTGGAGCTAGACTCCAGCAATATATGAATGGGCAATAAGCACATAAAAAGATACTCAACATCATTAATCATTAGAGCTATACAAATGAAAATCACAGTAATATGCCATTTTACACCAAGATGGCTATAATCAAAAAGAGAGTTGAGAACATAAGAGCAGTTGGAACCCTCATACCTTGCTGTTGGAATGTAAAATGGTGTCACCATTTTGGAAAGAATTTTAGTAGTTCCTCAGAATGTTAAACATAGAGTTACCATGTGACCTAGCAATTTCACTCTGAATATGTGTATGCAAAAGAAATGAAAACACATGCCCACACAAAAGACTGAATATTATGGCACCTAGACGGCTCAGTCAGTTAAATGCCTGACTTTTGATTTCAGCTCAGGTCATGATCTCACACTTACTGAGTTCAAGCTCCAGGTAGGGCTCCATGCTGCTGGTGAGAAGCCTGCATGGGAATCTCTCTCTCCCCTTCTCTCTGCCCTTCCCCAGCTTGTACTTTCTCTCTTTCAAAATAAACAGATAAGCTTTAAAAAACAAAAGACTGAACATGAATGGTTACAGAAGCTTTATTAATAGTAGTAACAAATTTTTAAAATCCCAAATGTTCATCAACTGATAGATAAACCAAAGGTGGTATATCTATACGATAGAATATTATCTGACAATAAAAAGGAATCAAGTACTGATACATGGTATAACATTCATGAATCTTGAAAAATTAGACAATGCAAAGAAAAGAGGCACAGAAGACCACATATTGCATAAGTCCATTTGTATAAAATGTCCACAATAGGCAAATTTTTAAAGGCACAAAATAGATTGATGGTTACCTGGGTGTGGGGAGAGGAGAATGAGGATGTGGTCTTTTGTGACTGGTTTCTCTCCTTTAGCCTAATGTTTTCAAGAGTCAACCAGATGGCAGCACGCATC